TGGGCTATGCCCAATCTTTCTTTTCTTTCTTGTTCTGCTTTTTGCATTGCATTAACAATGCCTAGCAGGCTTGGGTGGAGTTGCCCCCCTGGATTCGGGGGCGTTGTCGATGACGATGCAACGGCTGGGGCCATTGCACCAGATGGAAGTTCTTGTAAGAAGTGTTGTGGATAATATGATGTGGGATCTATGCTTGATGTTCTGAAGTTGTGTTGAGTGTTCTCGATGTGATGGATTGATTTGATTTGATTAAATTTAACGTCGTGCCTGTCTACAGCTCGTGACCTTAGTCACGTGCTGGACGGCCCAGTCCCTACAGAACTACCCGACGCTCTAGCGCGCCCTACAGCACCTAGAAACTACAAAAGAGTCCGACCTGCTGTCCGCTACTCTGCTTTCCAATTTAAATGTAGCAAATTTCCCTCTACCCGGGATTTTACTTTTTATTTACAAGTAGTTTGAAATTACTCCCGCAGACTATTCACGCAGTACCAAAAATCTCAAGGGAAATATCTAATGTGCCCGTTGGACTTCGTCGTAGAACTTTGCCAGCTCCACCCATTTTCCGAAGGCGTGTGCCCCTTTAGGCGTGCTGAGGACCCATTTAATACCGGGGGCGATGTGATGGATTGCGTGTGGGTTTCGAGGCCTGTGCGGGGGGCGGTCAGCTGGTCGGACTCTTTTGTGTCTATGACTATGTAGGATATGCAGGTCCTTTCTGCCTGTAGGCCGAGGATACCTATGCCAGTAGTATATCGCCAGGGAAGCAGTTCTTCGTAGACCAAATTTAACTTTTCATACCAACTGCCAGTGTAGAATGACTGGTCGATTCGTCGTTACACGAAATATGCATCGAATCTTGGCCATGCGACGATTGGTTTAGTGTTTGAAGCTCTGGACCACTGATTCTCACCATGCTACCCGCGTAAGCAGGCATCGATGCATTCATGGGGATAAAAGTCAAAAGCATAAATATTCGCGTCCAATACGCTTGAGAGTTGGTGATGCTTCGACTTTTGATATGTAGGGCCCGGTAGCCTGCAGCTGTACTTCAGCGATATCGCAGCGGTGATACAGCGGTATTATGGCTACAATTTTTCCGAATGTTGAACCTCTTCTGAGAGGCTTGAAATTGTAGCTTGGTACGTCATAGCTTCTCTAGGAATCCTTGCCAGTGAAGACTTATAAATTGGTCAGACATCTCCTCTTCCAACAATATCGCAACAATCAATTCTGCTTCCCTCCCATTACATTCGAACGTCTGCGAGATGATCGAGGAGCCCTGAAACCCGAAACTATCATCAACGTCGTTACTGCACCGCAAACATCCCTAAATTTAAAGTCAATTTCACATAACATGACAACGAATGGTGGTAAACAGACAACAATCGCGGTAACTCCAGAAAAGAATCATGATTATGGAAAAACGCAGTCCACGAAAGTAAAAGACAAAGAAAAGGACCAGATCCACCTGTGAGTAAGTCCCCCACAAGCCAGATACAGAGTGATAGGCTACGGATACAAGATCACGGACTATTGGCTGACTAAAATTAGAACGTTAAGAATAATTTATGAGAAGCATAATAAGAGAATTAAATCCTCGCTTGGATGAAAATGGGGGACAGGAATTTGAGAAAGAATGATATTAAAAAGCGTTAAGAGTCGTCCTCCCGGCCGTTTCCGGAGAGTTTGCAAATGCGAATTCGAAGGTTATGTGCCTGGAGGAGAGCGTTCGGGCCAAGGTGAATGCGTTGAGCGGGAGGTGTCCCGGTCGGCGTTATTTACCTTGAAATTCAAATGTGCGTTTGGCGCGGTGGATACGAAAACACAAGTTTGGCTGTTGGAAGCAGATCACACAACTGGCAATGAAATTGAGATTTGAGGACGAGCATAAATGGAGGCAAGGGGGAAAGGGTTATCAACGGTAGTGAAAATGTACTACGAATTGAGGACGAAAGTCGAACAATTTGAACTGTATTGGATCTGATAAGGTGGGATTTAGGATTGGATATAGTACGGATTGAGTCAAAGATCGAACCCAGATCTAGTCCCAAAGTCATATAATTGCTGATTTCATCTTGTCACATTGACCATGATTACATTTCAGATGAGACGTTTAGATTCCATGACTCAAAATGTAGAACTCAACCGCAAACACCACATGAAGATGGTTTAGCATGCAAAAAACAACAGACCAGTTACATCCGGAAAAGACCAAGGGGATGTATCAAAAGAACATATCGTCATGCCATTCATTCATTCATCCATTCATCCGTTCATTTATTGTTGATAAATATATCGCGACACCCGAGAGTGAGTTTTGCCGAACTTGAACCATCTATCACCTGTGTGGGGCGAGATATGGATCCAGGCTATACAGACTCTACTCAGTAGATCATCTGAATGATGACCCAACGCACGATCCAGCCTTAGCGTTGTTAGCAGTTTTTGTTCAGTCGTTCCATTGATAACCAGTCTAAGCATTAGACTACTGTAAGATATGCATCAACTAGGGGACTATTCTCAGTACCTGTCAGAGGTGTCCCCTATGAACCTCCAGCTCTCACTATAGAGTCTGCAAGGTCGAGGTTGAGTAACACCGTCCTCAATTAGATGAAGATTCCCAATCGCACTCGCGGTCTGAATTGTCTTCATCTTTAAGCAGACCTTTTTTTTGCATCAGATTTGAATTGCGTATGCGACTATCTAGCTATGACACAATATCAGAGAAGTGTATAATATATGACTCAATTTTCAAGAAGAGCACTCATGCCTAGGATTTCATTTGCAAGTACCACTGGAAGTTATGGAGGCTTTTTCTTCACCCCAAGTCAACCCTCATCCGAGAATATCTACCCGGTTTAATGTCTCAAAAAACCCTGGGTTATCCAGACATGTCTCCATCATCCGTTCACATTTCTCCGCGCCAAAATTGTTCTTAAGTATATCCTTACCAAGTGGAGTAGGTACCCAGGCTACTCAAACAATACCAGTGGACACCGCCAGGAGGCGGATCACGGCACCTTCTATCGTCGGCTTGTTTTTAGTGTCAGCTGCACTCTCGCGAGCGAAGTCTTGGCGCGCACAAATTATAATGCGTGAAACAGCCAAAGTTCCAACCTTCACGCCGTTCATGACTGTAACCGTCATCTTGTAAATTTGTCCTAATCCTTTTCAAGCCCTTCCACAAGAACTTTCTCCTGGATTTGTGCGCCATGCTTTGTTTCCACTGTTGGGTTTTAATACCGGCATTGGGGTGTATTTGGTGGTTAACTGATGCCAGAGGAAGTCGAAGAGAGGTTTGGTCATTGGAATGAAGATGTATTAGGTCGTACTTGTAGACTTGATGAAGCTTGGATAGGAGTCGAACTCGTTGGGAGTGAAAATTTGACGTAGCGGAGTATTTTGAAGCACTGTCTCGAAAGCCAACTTCATTGGTATTGCGAAATTTGACTGAACATGGATCTGGGAGAATATTTCACTCCTAGGTTTGTAGAAAGCACCGCGTACAGGTGTTCAGTCCTGCCCTATGTTAGGTAGTCTCTCGGAACCAGGCTCAGCCAAATTTGGAAATACAGAAAGAGCTGCACCGCGAGATGATGTCACAAGACTCATACAACATCGTCTATCACCACCAAGATTGACTTCGAGCAAAACCTTATCAAGCACGACCGACGAAGTTACCATTTTGTTGGCTACCTCTCGTTGACTCGGCTTCTAGCCTCTGGATAAACGCTCAGGAAAACATGAATACCCACAGAAGGACGCGATTAGGAGCAATCGAATCTGAAGAGGTAAATTTAAAGAATGTATGAGAGAGCAGAGGCTAGAAAGATAATAGTATGCAATATACAGATTTAATATTGATCTTGAAAGAGGTGAGATATCGTTAATTGAGAGGAAGCTAAGATGGTGGAGTGATGCGTTGTCCGAGTTGCTATTCTAAGTGTTGCCTGGATAGTTTGGCCTATCTTGCCATTAAGGGCTGAATGGTACAGCGGTACACCATCATGGTCGATCTCTCAAGAAGATTCAGAGTTCCTTGAACACCTATCCCAATTGAGACAGAAGAAAGCCAGTTCGAATCCAGTAAAACCCACACACCATTCTTTTCGTGGTAATTTCAAATGAATTCTGAGTATGATTTTTCTGAACGTCAAAATGAGTCATCCCCCTTAAAGTACTTATCTTCCGACAAACCGCATGGGCCACTAGATGCCAAATCAGGAAAATTGAATAACTTACTTACTTGTATCCTACAAGGAGAAAGTGATGACTGTGTTGAATTCAGTAAGACATGACCCTGTTTCTCGCGGTTCTCGTATGCGTGAATGTCAAAGGCATGCTACATAAATCAGGACTTCTAAATTTCCTTTGATGGGTATCTTTGAACGAGAGTTGATTGACATGTGCAAGCAAGCAAACTACAATTTGGTACTTACGAATGAAATATAGAGTGTGAGTGCCATTTAAGCCGAGAGACATCAAATATTTTTAATATCTATAAAGCTGGACTCAATTATACAACCAAAAGATGTATAAAAATATTCTAGCGTGCCGCGGGTGACTGAAATGATCATAACGACCTTGACGAGGTTAGAAGCTCAGCTTTAGCCACGATCCCCTTAGGAATATAGCTTAAATCTAGCTACTAATTATATCGAGTGATAATCATCACAGCAAGTGAAAAGGCAAGTTGTGACTAAAATATTTGAAGACCAACTAGCATCACTATCCTAAGGATTTCACCCATTCAAAACGGACAAACTTTCTACCTTCGTTCTACAAATGCTGCAATTCTTTAAAAATCGCTCCACACAAAGACTCAGCATTATTTTCGTCCAACTCCATCAATCGTCCCAATTTTATGCTGTAGGGTTTATCCGCCGAAACCTTTCCCCAGGGCGGTATAGAAATCTCATGGTACATTTATCGCTTACAAGAGACTAGCTCTAGCAGCTTTATGGACAAAGTAAAGAGTGCAGGAAATTATCCAATATTCAAGAGATTCGCTTGATAAGGCGGGTAGTACGAAAGTTCGCTGTTTTCCAGTTGTGTTGAGCATTAATAGTAGTATTAGCGCTAGTGCTGCTATTCTTTCTTGCCGCAGTTTCTTTTTGGAGAGCTAGAACGTGACTGAAGTCATGGGAATCTTCTCCCAGGCTCCAGGCCATTACACCACCTAGCTTACGTGCATCTACAATTTCGGTAAACTTACGCGCCATTAGCTCAGGCGTGTCGAACGTCCAAAAAAGGTGGTTAGCCTGATCATAGTAATAGGCACCGCCTGCTTGTTCGTCCTTGAGACCATCGCGTACTGCCATCTGAAAGTGGGCTGAAATAGGAATTTCATTGCAGCCTGAGCCGTAGGCTGATCCGAGACAATTCTTACAATATTCATCTGTATTTCCACTACGGTACTGTTAGAACTGAAGAAACACCGAGAGTTCGAAGAAAACGAGAATCATGATACGCACCAAAATCCAGCCGACGAACAGCACATACCCGGGGCACAGAAAGTAGATGTTGTCGGGCCACAAGCACCGTTTACGGACGCAGTCATGTTTCCCATAGGTTTGGCGTAATTACTCGCCTCAAACGTCGTTGCACCACTCTTTCCAGTATCCAGGCCATTTGCGTCTTCAGACATGACTGTCGTGCAATTAAGGCCATTTTCACATGGTTTGCTTGGATCTAGAGTGAACCACTTAGCATACATGGCAAATCCGAGATTTATCTTTGCTGGATCTAAAGATAGGGTATTGATATAGTGATCAACAACTTCTAAGGATGACTTAATATCTGTATGGTGCTTGGTAACATTGTCCCGGCGATTCATGAGGTCATAAGTCATTACGTTAACCCAATCAACAGACTTCCAGATCGATGGAGCTTTTTCAGGCGTATAAGCAATCATATCGACAACCTTACCGGGCGTTGCGATAGTTAGGAGCATGTTGGGTCCAATCGCAGCTCGAATTTCCGCCAGTAACATTGGGTAGGTGTCAATTTCTGATTTCTTTTCTGAGTTAGGTTTCTGACGATAGTCGGCACCGTTGCCACCTGGATATTCCCAATCCATGTTGACACCGTCGAAGCCAAATTTTTCGAGCAAAGCAGCAACATTACTGGCAAACAACTTGCGAGACGGTTCCGTTGCAACACCAACACTAAAGCCTGTATTATCGGCCCAGCCCCCAATGGCGATGAGAACTTTGGTGTTATTGTCAAAATGAGAGCGTACGCTTGAAATATTCTCAAACGGAACGTACTCCCCAGCTGGGGAAGTCGTAAATAGGGACGAATTGGCAAACGCTGTAATCACATGATCAATCCCAGCATTGACAGTATTGTTGGGAATATTTGTATGGTATCTGTGAAAAAGTTCATTAGATAGGGCTACAAGGGTCATCCAAAGAGCTTACTGATCATAGTAAAAAACATATCGTGCTTGAGTGACAGTTGTATAGAGAGCTCCAGCTAGGAAAAGTGATGAAAATCTCAGCATGATTTCAGGACGTAAATAAAACTGGGTATACTCGTTAAAATAGAGAATAAACGAAAGTGATACTGAGGATGGAGCTCAATGGAATGGCTTAATTGTCCTTTATATATTGCCTTGTATTTGAATATTATGTAGAAAATACAAAGAGCATAAGAATTCTACGTTACCGCTATGATGAGCATCGCCTTTCGGATGGGAATGGGCTCTAAAAACCTGGTTTGAATAGCTCAACAAGTGTAAGATGTTTGTGTTTAGAGATATAACAGCGATATCCTCGACATTAGGGCTTAGTTCCGACCGGAATTGGTTGCAGTTTTAACTCTTATCAATCTAGATTCATGCAAACCGTCTAGAATGGACAAAATTGTCACAGGCCTGCGACAATTTTAGACAATTGAATATTTTGCACACTCTATCATTATGCCTTTCTAGAACTCTGGATTTTATCGCCTTCTTTACTCCGGATGCTCGGCTAGCTATTACGTAGCTATTGTTCAAGAGAATTACCCCAAATCACTTGAGAAATCCCTGGATCCGTACCATAAACTTCTCTTATCCTTGATCTCCTTTAGACTAGTTTTGGTACACGTCCATGATGGTCTCTCCTGAAACCACGCCTGCTTCTTCCGAGCTTCCGTATTAAACTAGCCCATACAACATCCTAGAATACTGTCATGGAAAATATTTAGACTAAAAGTTGTTGCTCCTAGGTGTCTGGGGTAGTTAGACGTATTTTCGACCACGAAATGTGTTTTCTACTGTTATGGAGTATTTTATCTAGAACAGCTCTGATTTGCTGAGATTCGCTAGTATTCGGACACGCGATATTAGGTTTTCCGACCTAATATGTCTACGGGACTATACTTACACTTTTGTGACTATACGAGGAGGTTTTCAGTGAAGTCTCTGTAGGGGCAAGACTGCTAAATTGCGTAATTCTGATCAAGGGCCAGTCCAAATGGTAGTTTGGCATTCATTGCCCTGAAATCCGAAGGCAAGCAGCCGATCTAGCGATGGTACATCATCTTGATTGATCCTTCAAGTGGAGTTGGGACGTTTATGCTACTCAAGACAAAATTCGGCAAGTTCCATCTCATAAACGCTCAGTCATAGCTCAAACAACTCTCATGTATCAAGTGATGAGAGCTTGCAAGGATAGGAGGACGTTTTAATTTTTCTATTTGACTGGATTTCGTTGCAAACTGCAAATTGTGTTTAGTAGAAAGGGGAAAACTGTATAGTACTTTACAAACGAAGTTTATCACTTCAAATTCTCTCGGCGCGAAAGAGTTATCGTATTCAAACACTAAATACTGATTCTATATTGCAACTGGATAGCCGAATGTGAGAAAATCTGATTGAAAAAATTAGAGTAGCGCTGGGTTAGTTAGTAGACCGGACCAAATTCGGTAGAGGCCTCTGCATTCCCTCGCCGCCATGAGCAGGAGCGATCGACAGAAGCTCCCTGATCGTTACAGCCAGCATAGAACTATGTCTGATGTGCGGTACACGGTTGTAGTGTGTCTCAGGCTTGTGTGAGCTTCGTGGGGAAGTAGAAAGACCTGTGATCGGCTTTCAGGGATTACTCAGACAATTTGAATCCCTACCAAGAGGTTTAGTTATCTCGATAGATAACAGTGCTTCCATATCAATCTGATTCATCCGAAATATGTCTCACAAGTTTGCTAGCAGCCATTTTTGCTTGGGAGGATCGCTTCCAAATTTAGCGATTTTGTTCCTGTCTAATCCTATCATCAACTTCACCGCATTTGTGAAGGCTATTTCTCCAACATGAAAGCTTCTAGTACAACTTAAACTTGTGGAATGAGTAAGATGGGACTTGTTTTTGTAGTTTCATTTCCTCGTCCAATGTGAGCGTAGTGTGTTTTTGCTGTTTTATTAAAGTCCTAAGCTAAAGCTCTACATCCTACTATAGGTCCGGGAGCGGTGGAGCCGATAGGGATCCCTGTGAACTGTTCCACAGCTCAACCCACACCGACCGCGTGGATTCCTACCAGAGTTGCAGCAGATTAGAAACCAGAAACCACAAAAGCAAGACAAATCGAAAAACAGAATGTTCCCTAACGTTGGATCCAAGTACAGCGCTTCTGGAACATTCCCCTCGCCGTCACACTTTCCTGATGACAAACTTGCTTAATCTCCGCTGAGAGCTGGAGAAGAATTACGGGGTTCCTTCACTATTGTCTGTCTCTCTTCAAAATTTGATAAAGCTATTACCGACTTCTTCTCGGTACTCATCACACTTCGTGCTTGTTTCTCGAAATCTCAGGCCGCGGAGGCTAGCTCATCCAACATAATTGTATCCTTTGAAGCAGGTTGACTTACTGCCTCAGCTTTCGCTCGAGCTAATGCATCATTCTTTCGTTGACTAACCCGTCGTATGGTAACCAATTGTTCCTTGGTTACTGGGCCAGTTTTGATCGGTCAAACCAAGCAATCTCAATATCCCGAGCGATATTAGCCACCACAGTCTCGAGACTTGCTATTAGCTTTGAGTTCTGCAAAGAAATTTACTTTCAAAGCCGCAGTTCTATCAAGCTGGAACGCGGGAGCAGCAACGAGTGGGGTTTCAGCTGAGGCAGAGATGACACTGTGCGATTTGGCGGAGGAGCTTAAGCTTTGTAGTCATTTCCAACTCGTCATAGAGGCGGGAACCAGCACGGAGGGTGGTTTCTTGGGTGAAAAGAGCATGTCAGTTGAGATATCGCGCAACGGGACATTATATTCCATGAGGCCGCACCTGTATTTGCCTCAAGATGGTTGCTAGGCAGATTTTATCAGAGAATCAATCAGCATAGAGCGTTATGGGGCAATTAAATGCAATTATCTTTACGAGCTCACTCGCCATCCGTAAGTTAGGCAGGCCCGAAGATGCTTCGGGTTTGGCGTTGATAATCGCCAAATTTGGAGTAAGTGTCTAGGAGCCTTCATCTTATTCATTTTTTGCGAGAATGGAAAATCCGATTCTCACTCGGAGAAGTGAACTGATTTCAAATGACGAACACTTTAGCTCATTCTTCAATTGGTATTTGATGCACGTCGTGTGGGCTTTTCGCAACGGTTGGTCGTTAATGAGGCGAACAAGTTATTAATGGTCGACTTCTCTTTCAAAGCTTTTTTCTTTGTGGCTATGGACGCGAGTTACCGCACGGCTGTCACTGCCAAGACTGCTTTTTGTCGGTTTCCGTTTCGCGCCACCGTAGTCCAGCTGCTTTTACGGGCTATACCATGACGGTGGGAACTTTTGTGCTCCTGACCTGAAGAGCTCTTGGTAGGCGGCTCGCCGGGCGCGGGGGAAGGACGGGTGGCCAGGAGACCGCGCTCGTTGCCATTTATTGCGCTGTGGCGGAACGTAAATAGATGCTTATCGGATCTATCAACTATCTCTATGACTCTGTCCTTTAAGATAAGGTCTACTTCGATTCTGTCGATTTTAGCAGCGCAGAGTATGGGATCGGCCACAGTTTGGGTGGCGCGTCGTTCCTCAGATTAGGGAATTAGTGAAAGCTCGGGGGGGCAATCTGCTCTCGTGACAGGTTGAGGCTGCAACTAGGAGAGCAAGACTGAACACCTGTACGCGGTGCTTTCTACAAACCTAGGAGTGAAATATTCTCCCAGATCCATGTTCAGTCAAATTTCGCAATACCAATGAAGTTGGCTTTCGAGACAGTGCTTCAAAATACTCCGCTACGTCAAATTTTCACTCCCAACGAGTTCGACTCCTATCCAAGCTTCATCAAGTCTACAAGTACGACCTAATACATCTTCATTCCAATGACCAAACCTCTCTTCGACTTCCTCTGGCATCAGTTAACCACCAAATACACCCCAATGCCGGTATTAAAACCCAACAGTGGAAACAAAGCATGGCGCACAAATCCAGGAGAAAGTTCTTGTGGAAGGGCTTGAAAAGGATTAGGACAAATTTACAAGATGACGGTTACAGTCATGAACGGCGTGAAGGTTGGAACTTTGGCTGTTTCACGCATTATAATTTGTGCGCGCCAAGACTTCGCTCGCGAGAGTGCAGCTGACACTAAAAACAAGCCGACGATAGAAGGTGCCGTGATCCGCCTCCTGGCGGTGTCCACTGGTATTGTTTGAGTAGCCTGGGTACCTACTCCACTTGGTAAGGATATACTTAAGAACAATTTTGGCGCGGAGAAATGTGAACGGATGATGGAGACATGTCTGGATAACCCAGGGTTTTTTGAGACATTAAACCGGGTAGATATTCTCGGATGAGGGTTGACTTGGGGTGAAGAAAAAGCCTCCATAACTTCCAGTGGTACTTGCAAATGAAATCCTAGGCATGAGTGCTCTTCTTGAAAATTGAGTCATATATTATACACTTCTCTGATATTGTGTCATAGCTAGATAGTCGCATACGCAATTCAAATCTGATGCAAAAAAAAGGTCTGCTTAAAGATGAAGACAATTCAGACCGCGAGTGCGATTGGGAATCTTCATCTAATTGAGGACGGTGTTACTCAACCTCGACCTTGCAGACTCTATAGTGAGAGCTGGAGGTTCATAGGGGACACCTCTGACAGGTACTGAGAATAGTCCCCTAGTTGATGCATATCTTACAGTAGTCTAATGCTTAGACTGGTTATCAATGGAACGACTGAACAAAAACTGCTAACAACGCTAAGGCTGGATCGTGCGTTGGGTCATCATTCAGATGATCTACTGAGTAGAGTCTGTATAGCCTGGATCCATATCTCGCCCCACACAGGTGATAGATGGTTCAAGTTCGGCAAAACTCACTCTCGGGTGTCGCGATATATTTATCAACAATAAATGAACGGATGAATGGATGAATGAATGAATGGCATGACGATATGTTCTTTTGATACATCCCCTTGGTCTTTTCCGGATGTAACTGGTCTGTTGTTTTTTGCATGCTAAACCATCTTCATGTGGTGTTTGCGGTTGAGTTCTACATTTTGAGTCATGGAATCTAAACGTCTCATCTGAAA